TTCTTCCTTCCTTCCTTCCTTCCTTCCTTCCTTCCTTCCTTCCTTCCTTCCTTCCTTCCTTCCTTCCTTCCTTCCTTCCTTCCTTCTATTGGGGAATTGGGGAAGGGGAACAGCCCAGTTGTTGTCCTTCAATCTTAGTTGTGAGGGGCACAGCTAGCTCAGCTCCAAGTCCAGTTGCCATCCGGCCACCCATTGGCAGCTCGTGGCCGCTCAGCTCAAGGTGCTGTGTTCAATCTTAATTGCGGGTGGGCGTAGGCCATCATTCCCATGTGGAAGTGGAACTGGCAACCTTGATGTTAAGAGCACGTGCTCTCACCAGCTGAACCATCTTAATGCCTGTTAGCAGCTCAGTGGCAGCTCAGCTCGGGCGCAGCTCACTGGCCCATGTGGGAAATAAACTGGCGACACCGTTGCTCAGAGCTCGCACTCTTAACCAACTGAGCCACTCGACCGGCCCCCAAGTGATATTTCTAAAATGAAAATATGATACCTCCTCTTTAGCAGTGGTTCCCCATTGCCTTCAGGATGAAATCCAGACTCCTTGGCATAACCTGCAGGGACCTTGGCCATCACCTCCATCACCATGCTAGCTTCTTTTATGGCCCAGCTACCCTGAAAATACAGTGTTCCTCACAGTTTTGCATGTGTTATTCCTTTCATAGGAATACCCTTCCCTTCCTCCCTTAGCTAACTTCCTACTCTTCCTTGAAAACTTTCTGCCCCCTCCTATTTCTATTGCAGTAAAATATACATAACACGAAATGTCCCATTTTAACCATTTAAGCGTACAGCTCAGTGACATTAAGTTCACTTCACATGGTTGTGCAACCACCCATCACCACCGTCCATCTCCAGAACTTTTTCATTTTCCCTCAAACTGAAACTCCTTACCCATTAAATAATAATTCCCCATTCCCCCTCCCCCAGCCCCTGGTAACTACCATTCTACTTAATTCTATATAAGTGGAATCATACTGTGTTTAGAGTTTTGTTGGCTCACTTGACTTAGCACAATGTCCTCAAGGTTCATCCACGTAGTAGCATGTGTGAGAATTTCCTTCCTTTTTAAGGCTGAATAATATTCCATCGTATCGCTATACCACATTTTGTTTATGCTTCGGTCGATGGACACTTGGGTTGCTTCCATCTTTTAGCTCTTGTGAATAACGCTGCTATGAACATGGGCATACAAATATTTGTTTGAGTCGGTACTTTTAGTTCTTTTGAGTAATACCCAGAAGTGGTGGGCCAGTTTGTTTTGAATCAAACAGCTTTAAACTGTGGCCCTATCCCTCAGCTGCCTCCTCCACCCACCCAGTGCCCCAGGAATGGTTCTAAGAGCCTGTGTCCCTGGCTCTAAGGGACAGCCAGGTGAGAGTGTGAATCACTCAGGGACAGCCTGTTTCCACCACACGGAAGCATGAATGGCTCCAGAGCTGTTTATCTTCCTTGGGAGGCAGTGAGCTCCTTGTTAATCACAGTGTACACGCAGCAGAGGGTGGCTGGCTGCTTTCCTGTGATTCCTCATTAGAGAGAGCCTGGACTGGTTGAATGCCAAGGAACCTTGCAGCTGGAAGACTCTAAGACCCAGGGCTTCCCACATTCTGAGTTCTCCATTCTGAGAACCTGGCCGGTACTAGGATTCAGCCACTCTTGGTGTTCTGGTGCTTTTCCATTGAGGCCTTTTCCCTGAGTGCTTTGGCAGAGGTGGGGGCTGTAATCCTAGTGCCGGAAGTGGTATAGTCAGACTGCCTTGGCCTTGCGCATTGCCTCACAAGCATGAGTCCGTGTCGCTTTGCAGCCTAGTGACTTTCGTCTTTCCTGCCTCTATACCGTCCATGGAGTAAATGGGCCACCACAGGCCCTTGGGCATGTAGGTCATTTGTAGTCTCTTAAGATTCTAATGAGCTCATAAAACCTAAAGCTTTGTGCCTACTTTAGTTCTTCTCCTTTTTTTAAAAAAAGATTTTATTGGGGAATTGGGGGCTGGGGAACAGCGTTGGGGAATCAGGGAAGGAGAACAGGCAAGTTGTTGTCCTTTTTGTTCTTCAGTCCAGTTGTGGAGGACATCGCTTCACTGGCCCATGTTGGTATTATCATTGCGCTCTTCCCAAGTGAGGCAGATCAGTCACTGGCCACTGGATGGCGGCTCACAGGGGCTCACAGCGGCTCACAGCAGCTCACAAAAGCGCATGCCAGCCCCACTGCAGCCTATGCTGCTGCCAGCGACTCATGGCAGCCCAGCTCCAGGTCGAGCTTTTGTTCACCATCTTAGCTGTGGAGGGCAGTGTCACTGGCCCTCATGTGGGATCTGAACCCAAACTCTACTGCTCAGAGCTGGTGTTCCAAGCCAACTCTTAACCAAAGCGGCACTCGGCCGGCCCTCTTTAGTTTTTTTCTTAATTTAAAATTTTTATTTTTTAAATAATAAAATCAACTGTATTGGGTTATAATTTTTTTGTAAAAAAATATATATATATACACACATATGTATATGTATATATATATATTTTTTTTTGGAAATTTTATTGGGGAACAGTGTGATTTTCCAGGACCCATCAGCTCCAAGTCAAGTAGTTGTTTCAATCTAGTTGTGGAGGGCGCAGCTCCATGGCCCATGCGGCGATTGAACCAGCAACCTTGGTGTTATGAGCACTGTGCTCTAACCACCTGAGCCAACCGGCCACCCAATGCATTGGGGTATAATTTTTTTTTTTAAGATTTTTATTGGGGAGTTGGGGGGATGGGAAAAGTGCTGGGGAATTGGGGGAAGGGGAACAGACAAGTTGCTGTCGTTTTTGTTCTTCAGTCTAGTGGTGGAGGACGTTGCTTCACTGGCCCAAGTTGGCACCATCATTGCGCTCTTCCCGGGTGAGGCACATTAGTTGCCGGCTTCTGGACAGCCGCTCACTGCAGCTGCTGGCTGCTCACACTGGCTGCTGGCTACATACGGTAGCCCATGGCAACCCACTGCCACAGGGGCTGCAGCCTACGCTGTCGCCGGTGACTCACAACAGCCCAGCTCCAGGTTGAGCTGTTGTTCAGCATCTTAGCTGTGGAGGGCAGTGTCACTGGCCCTCATATGTGGGATCCGAACCGGGGTCCTCTGGCGTTCCAAGCCAGTTCTTAACCATGGCGCCACTCGGCCGGCCCCATTGGGGTATAATTTAATACCCATTTAAGTGTTAACTTCACATCTGCTCCCCTCAGCAGAGAGAGTCCTCTAAGGGAGTACCACTATGTATTGATGGGCATTTATTTTCAATTTCCCCCTATTATTTTCCTGGTGCTAACAGTGCCACTGATGGACTTCCGAGTGTACGGGTGTGCGCACGCCTGCCCTTCCTCCCGCGGGCTGGTTCTTTCGTAGGAAGAGGTTCTTGTAGGAGAGGTCCCCAGAGTGTAGGGACTGGGTCAGAATGTATGAATGGTTCCAAGGATGAGATGCTCTGGAAGCAGCTGGGGGATGGCAAGTATTTTTCTCTCCTTGACCTGGTGTCTCTGGCTACTGGCCAGGCCCTTGGGAATCCTGAGGTTTCAGGTATCAGGAACACCTGGATTTTGAGCTTCAAAAACCCCAAACCAGAGTGCATTGAAAGGTCAGGCTCCCTGACTGCAGTGGGGCAGCTTTTCTTGTGTCTCCAATGTCTCAAGTTGAAATGATAACAAGCCAGAGCTGGGCCTGCTCCCAGCACTTAGGCACCTGGTTCCGGAGGTCAGTGCCTGTTGGCCTCCCTTGGTTTTCTCTGACATCGAAGGGATTGTTTTCATCACTGGGGTGTTTTGAAATTAAACCAGGCCACCACTGATGAGTTAGTAGGCCCTGGGTGCGGACAGACTTGAGCTGAACCCCAGCTCCTCAGCTTACTTGCTCTGTGACCTTGGTCATGTCACTTCTCTGAGTCTCAGTTTCCCCATTTGTAAATGGGAGGTTACAACACACTTACTTCACAGTGCCAGTGAGGCTTAATGTAGATAAGGAGCTTACCGCCGTGCCCGGCACTGAGTAACTCTTCATCAAGAGAAGCTATCACGACTATTACTTGAATCTCAGCACTGCCGTCCGCTTGCTGCATGCCTTCTGGCAAGTTTCTTTCTTTTTTTCCCCCATTATTTAGAGAATATTTTATTAGCTTCTCTATCTGGCAAGTTTCTTAACCTCTCTGAGCTTAGTTTCCTCATCTTAGTTTCCTTCTCTGTCTGATAAGCAGAGTGCTCTGTGTGCTTTACAAAATGCTTTTCTGGCCATTTGCTTATCTCCTCACTCCTCAAAAGACGGCCATAGCTAGGAGTCAGGGCTTGGGGTGGGGGCTGCAAGATGCCACCACAAGTTGCTGGATGAGTGGACTCTTATGATTTGGACCACGAGGGAGAATTTCATTCTGCAAGCATTTCATTCAGCATCCATGTCCTTGGCTTTGCGGGTTAGAGAGAAGGAGCATTTACTGGGGCATTTCCAGTCTGGGAGAGAAGGGAGCAGGAGAACGGAAGGCAGCTATGCCACAAGCAGAGTGTGCCATATGCCTTGTGACCAGTCCAGAGGGCAGGGTACGGGGTCTCCGGAGAGCAAGGGCCCCTTTCAGCCTGCTCTCCACAAAAGTGATCATTCAGTGGAAGGCTGCTCCTGTGCCTCCTGGCTTCCAACTCCTGAGTGGGTGCCCACTGCTGTTAGGACGGATACCAGGCCCTGCCAGCCTGGCCAACCTCGCCACTCACCGCTGGCCGCCTGTCATGAAGCTTTGGCCACAAGGTCCTTCTTTCCGTTCCTCCATTATACAGCTTCTGCCCGCCCCAGAGCCGCCTCAGGCTCTGTTCCCTCAGGAGCACTCTTCTTCCCCTTGGTCAGGAGAGTGCATCCTTGTTCTTTAGCGCTCAGCTTAAATGTCACTTCTTCAGGGAAGTGATGTGTCACCCCCAGTCTACACTAGGCCCCCGTCAGGGACTCTCATGGCAACACACACGTTTTCTTCTCGGCCTGACTGATGCAATGGTTTGTTGTGTCTTTCCTGCCCTTGGCAGCTCCACAAGGTCAGGGCGTGTGTCTTTCTTGTTCTCCAGTCTCTTCAATACCCGGGTGAGGAGTTGGGGCTGTTTCGGAGAACAATAAACAGCTTACCAGATGTATCTGGGTGGGGGCCTGGTTCCCCGAAGGCTGGGCTGTAGACCCGGCTCCCAGAGGGGTCAGGCTCATTTCAGGATGCCAGCCATGAATGGTGTGGCATCACCAGCCCCTAAATGATTTCAGCCGGCCCCAGGGAGGGAAAGGGCTGATGCCAGCTTGGACAGAGGAGCCCGGACAGGGAAAGGGTTAGACCGCCACTGCTGTCCCAAACCGGCCCAGCCCTAGAGCGGGAAATCCCAGTCACTCACAGTTCTTCATGCCATTCATTCAGCAGACGTTTATCATGTGCTTACTGTTTCCTGAGGTCTTAACATGTGTTTGGTGCTACGCCAAACACTTTACATTCATTCAGCAGATAGTCTCTGAGCTCCTCCTACATGCCAAGCACTGTTCCAATTTATGGGAACACCACCGTGGGAAAACAGACAAAAATTCCCGCCCTGGGGGAGCGTACATGCTTGAACTGGGAGGCAGACAAACCTAAGTACAATAGAGATCTTAGCAGATGATATAGTAAGTCCTGCTTACTCTCAGACAAAGCAGAGAAGAGCAAAGGGAGTCTGAGGAGGTTACAATTTAAAGCTTCTATTTCATTCTCACAACTGCCGTGTGTGAAGCAGGTACCCTTATGATTCCTGTTTTGTAGACGAGGACACTGAAGTTCAGAGGAGTTGAATGAGTTGCATAAGATCAGAGCTAATCAGTGATGGAGCTGGCCTTCGGGATTTTTTTTTTTTTACTACTCTGCTTCCTAAAGTAAGGAATAGTGTGACCCAGCTCTCTCTCCGAAGCCACAGTAACACCTGAGATAGATCCAGGTTTGAATCTGGGTTCTGTTGCTTGCTGGCTGTGTGATCCTGTGTGACCCAGCCTCATCGATGCTTGGTTTCCTCAGCCTCCCCCTTCGGCTTGAAAGTTAAGTGTGATCACATTTGCCCGGTGCGGCATAGGCAGGCTCAGTGCAGATATGTAGACATCGAACGGGCAGTGGTGGGTGCTGCATGCTTGGGCGTGGAAGGGGCGAGGAGGCAGAGAGTCAGGGTGCCGTGCCTGCCCTCCCCACAGGCGTCCTGCCTCTGCGGTTCTGCCCCCTGTATCCTATGTGGCTGCTGCCCCTCCAGCCGAAACTCCACCGTCAGCCGGCTCATCTTCACGGCCTTCCTCTTCCTGGGGGTGCTGGTATCCATCATCATGCTGAGTCCTGGAGTGGAAAGTCAGCTCCACAACGTGAGTAGCCCCAGAGGGTGGGGGCCAGGGTGGGGTGGGGGTAGCGGTGGGCAGAGGAAGCAGCCTGCGGGGCCCTGGCCTCTGGTGGAGGCTCAGCTGCTAGGGGCCAGGCTTGGGGTCCCAGCTAATCGCCAAGAGGTAGGCAGGAGTGTTCCCGTGAGTTTCTTCATGTGGGGAGGAGCGTTTGAGCCTAGCATGGGGATTCTGGTTTCTCCTAAGTCATGGTCCCCTTGGAAAATCATATTAATCGTTACTGCTCCCAAGACTCTGGCCCAGGCAAGCGTTCCCCTCTTTAACATGAAAGCCCTGTTTGGGGGTCCTAACTCTTTCCTTCATCTTCTGGCACAGACCCAGCGGGACATTTAGGCTAGTGGTTATGACCTTTTAGTGTGTATAAAGGTATGAATCCCCTGGGGAGGGTGCTGGAAATGCAGAGCCTCAGACCTCACCTTAGAGGCTCTAGTTCTGTAAAGAGGGACCTCCGAATCCTTGTTTTCCCCAAGAGTCTCAGGGGACTCTGGTGTAGGGGGTAGGTGAAGAGCACTCTGGGAAATTCTTCTGTAGACAGTGCCATGTGTTCCTGAGGCTGTGGGCATGACAACAGGGAAATAAACAGGTAGTAACAAGATACAACTGGATGGACCATCTGTCTTGGGGCAAGAGGGGAGGAGGACCTAGTCCTAGGACTTCAGCCCCAGAGATGGGTGGCAGGGGGATGGATGGCAGTGGGGATGGAGGCGGGTGGCAGTGGGGATGGAGGCAGGTGACAGGGGGGATGGAGGCGGGTGGCAGTGGAGATGGAGGAGGATGGATGGCAGTGGGGATGGAGGCGGGTGACGGGGGATGGAGGCGGGTGACAGGGGGGATGGAGGCGGGTGGCAGTGGAGATGGAGGCGGGTGGCAGTGGAGATGGAGGTGGGTGGCAGTGGAGATGGAGGAGGTGGCTTGGGCTCCCATCCTGGCCCAGCCCCTGCTGGGAGAGCCTCCCTCTTGGCAGGCCTTGGCTGAACCAGGCCCAGGGTTCTGGGTGCGGTGGGGCCATCAAGCTGCTCTGTGTGTCCCCACAGCTGCCCTGGGTGTGTGAGGAGGGGGCCGGGAACCCTGTCGTCCTGCGGAGCCACATTGACTGTGGCTCCCTGCTCGGCCACCGTGCTGTCTACCGCATGTGCTTTGCTACGGCAGCCTTCTTCTTCCTCTTCACCCTGCTCATGATCTGCGTGCGCAGCAGCCGGGACCCCAGGGCTGCCATCCAGAATGGGTAAGGGAAGGGCCCTGCCTGCCACCGGGATCCTCCTACAGTGGCTTCTCCCTCCCCAGCCTGTCTCCAGACATCTCCAGACCCTACCCTTAGACTCAGGAGCTACTGAAGCCAGGAGGGCACAGCACCAAGGTCAGCTTGTTTAGTTATTCCCATTTTGCAGATGAGGAAATAAAGCTCAGAAGGGACAGCAACATGCCTAAGGCCACACAGCACTTTAGTGACACAACTGGGGCTAGAACCCGGGTGACTACCTTCATCCCTACTTGCTCCTTCCTTCTGCCCTTCTGGGCTTTTTTCTAGGACCAGGACAAACTTTTTTGTGCCCATCAGGCCATCAGAAAGCCCCTCTTCACCTCTTTCAGTGCTTGACCTTTGGGGGATGGGATGGGGTTCTGGGGGTCAGGCCTGTTCCTCTACCCCTGTTCAGCCTTCTTATCCGTCTTACCCCCCCCCCCCCCCATAGATTTTGGTTCTTTAAGTTCCTGGTCTTCGTGGGCATCACTGTGGGCGCCTTCTACATCCCCAATGGCTCCTTTCCCAGCAGTAAGTGGTCTTGGTGGGGAGGGCCTGGGGCTGCCAGGAGAGGGTGGGGGCTCCAGAGGGAGGAGCACTGGTGGGGGCTGCTCCTTGCTCTGGCCCACAGACCCCGGGCTGCTGGCTGGGTCCTCAGCTCCCACCTAGGAGACAACGCTCTGGCCATATGGCCTTTGGGCAGCTTGGGGGGCAGGGGAATCCACCTTGCCTCTCACTCATTCCCAGCCACACCACGTCTCCGTGCATGGCTAGGGGCTCTCTGAGGGTGGGGACTTGCTTCTTCTCTGTGTCCCCAGTGCAGGGCGTGGCACAGATGATTATCGAATGAGTAAGTCTGTGTGTAAAGAGTTCACGGGAGTATGCCTGCCCCAGGAACCCTGGGGAGCCTGGTAGGGTCATGGGCCCTGGTGCTCAGGCTCCTGCCCTGTGGCCAGACCTGCTTGCCTCACTCCCGTCTCCCCACTCAGTCTGGTTCTACTTTGGCGTCGTGGGATCCTTCCTCTTCATCCTCATCCAGCTCGTGCTGGTCGTCGACTTTGCACACTCCTGGAACCAGTGGTGGCTGGGAAAGGCCGAGGAGCGTGACTCCCGTGCCTGGTATGCAGGTCAGTGCCACCGTGTCAGCTCCGTGCAGATCTGGGGGTACGTGAGGAATGGGGGGGTCCCTGAAGCTGGATGAAAGCCTGGAGGGCATCTCAAGCAGCCCTCCGCCTTAGTGCAGGAATTGAACCGTCCAAGGCAGGTAGAGGGGAGGGGGTGTGTGTGAGCAGGGGCAGCTGATTCTAGGGTGACTTCAGGGGAGCAGAGCAGAGCGGAACTGGAGAGGCCTGGGAGGGGTCTAGCTCGACGCTCCCTACAGAATGGGCCACGCACAGCCAGCTCAGACCAAACATCAAATGGCACTTGGTCATTGAAACCCCAGTGGCAGAATGGGTCCCTGTCGAATTCTCTTTCAGTTCTTCTGAATCTACCAGAAGAAAGGCTCCCTGAGGTGCTGGTTTGGGTTTCACACCTCTCCATGAGCTTGCTGGTCTCTCCCACAGAGAGAGCAGGGCTTCAGCAGGTCACCACACATCTAGCTCACTTTTTAAATGACTATCTTGAATTCATTGTATTTATTTTTTACTGGTACCGTATGGGAAGTGAATCATTTTAGTGCAGGATAGGGCAAAAACTCAACAAAGGTTATTGATGAATGATGGAAGTTTAGGAGACACCGACGTCATTCCTTGGATGAGGAAGCTGAGGCTCACGACAGGGAGGACTGCCTGACAAGCCCCCTCGAGGGAGCGGGGTCCCTGTGCCTCCTGACCGCCATGCTTGCTGCCCTTCTGCCCAGGCCTCTTCTTCTTCACCCTCCTCTTCTATTCGCTGTCTATGGCGGCCGTGACCCTGTTCTTCGTCTACTACACTCAGCCAAGCGCCTGCTATGAGGGCAAGGTCTTCATCAGCCTCAACCTCATTCTCTGTGTCTGTGTCTCCATCATTGCCGTCCTGCCCAAAATCCAGGTGAGCCTGCCAGTCTCTGCCCGGCCTGAAACCAGGCCCGTTGGTGTGTGGGACATCTCGTGGGAATCTTAGAGTTCTGGGGCAGGGCTGTCAGTTACAGAGGCTAAGAGTGTGTGCTCCCAAGTCAGCTTCCCTGAGTTAGAGTCTTGGCTCTCACATCTCCATGCTGGGTGTCTTTGGGAAAGTGCCTTAACCTCTCTGTTCCTCTTTTTTCTCAAATGTAAACTAAGGATACTAATACCTACTATTTGGAGTTATTCTTAGGATTGAGATCATATTTTTGAATACTTGGAACAGTGTCTGGCATATAGATATCCGTCACACATTATTGTTGTGGTCATTGTTGTTTTATGTAAATCAGAAGAACATTAGGGAGGGTCACTGATGATTCTTAGACACCTAAAGAAATGGTGTTGGAAGGTGCAGTACTCCAGTTTTCAATCCCAGATAGTCTGGGATCATGGATGGGGCTCCCAAGTCATTGTTCTTCAGAAAGAAAGCCTTCTGAGTCTAGTGGTCCTTCCCAGCCTGGGACTCTCAGCCCACCAGGGGTTTCAAAGGCAGCTTAGGTAGCCTTTGGGGGGTCTTTAGCAGAAAGGTTGGGAATCTCCCTTCTGATCAGAGTCTGAATTTCCCATTGGGAAAAATTAAAACCCAGAGAGTATGATGCCCCTGTCCCAGGTCACACAGCAATCAGTATTCATTCAGCAAATACCTCCTGAGCACCTATTGTTTACCAGGCACTCATGTACAATAGATGGTGAGGACCCAGCTGTGAGGAAGAGGAGGAAGAACAATAATAATGTTAGCTAATGTTAACATTAGCTAACAGTTAATGGCATCTATCATGTCATTTAGTCCTTGCACCATCAGCGTCCCCACTTTACAGATGAGGAAACAGAGGCTTAGAGGAGTAAAGAAACTTGCCTAAGGTCACACAGCTAACAAGGGGTGGAGCTGGGATTTGAACCCAGGCAGACTGGCTCCAGAGCCTGTGCTGTTAATTACACAGTGTTTAGGTTCACATTTTGAAGTGTGTGTGTGGTGAAGGGCAGGGAAGAGTAACCCACAGGCGACTAGGCCAAGTCAGGTAATTCTGGATGAGTGTTATGCGGGAACTAGAAGAGGGTGTGGGTTACAAGGTAGGCAGGGCCAGGGCTGCTACAGTCCAGGTTTTCAGGGCCTCGTTGGGGGTCCTATCTGAGCTAAGGCCCGAATGCTAAAGGGGGGCTGCCCGTGAGGAGATACGGGGAGGAACATGTCAGAGAGAAGGCGCGAGTACAAAGGCCCTGAGGTGGGAGAGGGTTCAGCACGTTCCACGGACAGTGAGGAGGCCGCTGTGGCTGGGGTGTAGTCAGCAAGGAGGAGCATGGGTGGGGGTCAGGTGCAGATGAAGGTGGGACAAACCAGGAAGGGCTTTAATTAAGAGTGTGAAGGGTTCTCAGCAGGGGATCATAGGAGTAATCTGTTAGGAGAAAGAATTAGGACTCTACTTTTGGGTGGGTGAGGTGGGCGGTGGGTAGCCTGGGTGGTGTGTTTTCCCAAAAGGTGTGGGGTGGGTGGCCATAGGGTTGTGGGGTTTCCCGGGTCTGGCAGGGGTCATACTGATGGACTGCTCTTGCCAGGAGGCCCAGCCCAACTCAGGTCTGCTGCAGGCCTCGGCCGTCACACTCTACACCATGTTTGTCACCTGGTTGGCCCTGTCCAATGTCCCCGGTGAGTAAAAGCCTGGGTTCAAGGAGGCCTGGCCTGTTCTTGGGCCAACAACAGCCCTCTGGGGACCTGGGGACCCTCCCAGGTGACTGTGATATCCAAGCCCCAGCTCATTTGGACACTCACTCCGTCAGGGAAGTGAGGGGACCCCATCCGTTCCTAGAGCTGTCTGTTGTTTTGCCTGTTCAATGCTGTCTGTCACTGGGATTTGGATGGTGGGTTGTGCTTCTGTCTGTCCATTTGGGTTGGCTCTCTGCCTGTCCTCTGGGCTACATGGCTACTTAGACCTGGCCTGCATGGGCTGAGGGTAACCATGCTCCTATCCCTAGACCAGGAATGCAACCCCCACCTGCTGACCCACCTTAACGGGACAGTCCTGGCAGGCGCCGAGGGCTATGTGACCCAGTGGTGGGATGCACCGAGCATCGTGGGTCTCATCATCTTCATTCTGTGCACCTTCTTCATCAGGTACAGCAGGGCTTTGGTGTCTGGGGAGGGATCATGATTGCGGGCCTGGAGCCAGAAGTGAGAGGAGGGTGTGGGAGCCGAGACACCACGCGGAAGCACATGTTCAGCCCTTGCATTGTGCTGGTGGGGAAACTGAGTCCTTCTGGGGCACAGTGTGAACCCTGCCTCCTGGCCCAGGGTCCTTTCCTGCACACTGGGCTGCCACATGCCCAGCTCAGTTGGGTGCAGGCGACTGTGGGGTCAGGGAAGAAGCCTGGACTGGGGCAGTGGGTCCAGGCTCTGTCACTCACCTGCTGTGTGGACCTGGGATAAGTGGCTTCGCCTTTCTGAGCTTCAGTTTCCTTGTCAGTAACCTCCAATGCCCAGAGTGGCTGTGACCCCACCGCCTCACCTGAGAGAGCAGTAGCTCATACTTAAGATCACTTGACAACTTTTTATAAAGGAGAATCTTAGCAAGTGCTTATCAGTGTGGACTCTGGAGCCTGCGTTTGAACCCAGCACTGCCACTTACTGGCAGTGTGATCTTGGGCAAGTCACTTAACCGTTCTGTGCCTCAGTTTCCTTATCTGAAAAATAGGGATGAAAAGAGCACCTACCTCACTGGATTGTTGAAGGGTAACAGATGAGTGAATATGTATAAGGCACTTAGAGAAGAACTTGGCAAGTAGTATGCACCAAATAAGCGTTTGCTATTATTGCAAATAACTGTGAACCATTTGCACAGCTGGGTGGCTGTGAGTGGCTGTTTTGTAAACATCACTAGATGGTAATCTTGAGTATAATTTTGTTTATACTGGATCTGGCAGACTCATTATTGCCTCCCTGTGGCCCGGCATTTCTCCAGGCACCACTTTCTTCGTCTGCCCATTACTCCCTCGAGAACACCTCTGCTCTGCTCCTCCAGGAGCACCACACTTGCCTCCAGGCCCCTGGGCTAGAACATTCTGAGGCTGTTTCACCTTTTGTTTTGTTTTAGCCTTTTCCCAAACATTTTCTCATACATCTGGGAAGTTCACAAACATCTCTCTTCTTTGTTGCCTCATTTGATTCCTTTTTCAATCTGGAAAGGCCCGTATCACCTCCATTTTACAGGTGCGGGGACAGAGACTCAGTGAGGAGCAGCCACTTGTGTGAGGCCTTGAGCTCACGGTGGCCTGGTGCTTGAGCACACTTTCCCTGCCCCCAGTTCTCTCCCCTCCCACCCTACCCAGGCACAAAGCTGTGCTTCCCGCTGCTTCTCATACATACACCTCCCTAGCCTGAGGTCTCTGGGCAGCACCTCTGAGAGCCCAGGTGGGGGCCTGTGTGTTCTTAGCACAGCTCTTTAGACACAGGAAGCCAAGAAGCATCAACAGCTGGGAAGGCAGGGACCGCTGATGATGGCTTTCACCCCAGCTGGATTGCCCAGACCTGGGCTCACGTGCACTCAACATCACGACTGTTTTTGATGATTGGGGTCAGCTGCAGCTCTGCAAGGGGCGACCTCGATTTGATGGGGTGGGGCTGCAACCCAGGTCTCCTTTCACTTTTTTTCAAAATCCAAGTTGTATTTTCAAACTTGTATATGTGTCCCATATTATTAAATACTGTTAAAAATATCAAGATCGCATTATAGAAAAGCAATGACCAAAAAACAATTACTATTATTTTTAAAATTAGAAACATGGAGAAAGGGGAGGCGAATTGGTAAAACTACTTACCTAAAACTAATGAAAGGAAAGTAGCAAATAAGCATTGTTTTGTTTTGTTTTTTTTAAGATTTTTATTGGGGAGTTGGGGGGATGGGAACAGTGCTGGGGAATTGGGGGAAGGGGAACAGACAAGTTGCTGTCGTTTTGTTCTTCAGTCTAGTTGTGGAGGACGTTGCTTCACTGGCCCAAGTTGGCACCATCATTGCGCTCTTCCTGGGTGAGGCACATCAGTCGCCGGCTTCTGGACGGCTGCTCACAGCGGCTACTGGCCGCTCACGCTGACTGCTGGCTACACACGGTAGCCCATGGCAACCCACTGCCACAGGGGCTGCAGCCTACGCCGTCGCCGGTGACTCACGGCAGCCCAGCTCCAGGTTGAGCTGTTGTTCAGCATCTTAGCTGTAGAGGGCAGTGTCACTGGCCCTCATATGTGGGATCCGAACCGGGGCCCTCTGGCATCCCAAGCCAGTTCTTAACCATCGCGCCACTCGGCCGGCCCGCAAATGAGCATTGTTAATTATTAACATTATTAATGAATGTAGCACCTGGTGTGGTTATTTGCAGCACTAGGTACTCAGTGCATGTTAAGCGAAGTGGCAAATGAACAACCAGACCAATAGTGAGCATTTGTTTAGTTTATACTCTATGCCAGGCACAGTGCTAGGGGCTCTACATCATTATTCCAGTTCATCCTTCTCGCAACCCTGTAAGGGAGGCCCTGTTGTCCCTGATTTTGTAGACAAGGAATCATCAGGGGCTCAGAGAGGTCAAGTGGCTTGCCCTGTCACACAGGGAGTGGGGATAGAGTTGAGAGTCACAGCAGTTTGTTAACTCCTGCGCCCAGGACCGAACCACCAGGTCACTGGCCCTCAAGGCTCCGGGACCATCGTGCCCATCGTTGTTGTGACCAATGCCATGGCTCACGAGGCCCCCTGGCACTGCCCACCCGCCCACCCTCGGCGGCCACAGCCCTGACTGCCATCTTCCTTCCCCCCTCGCAGTCTGCGCTCTTCGGACCACCGGCAGGTGAACAGCCTGATGCAGACAGAGGAGTGCCCTCCCGTCCTGGAGGCCTCGCAGCAGCAGCAGGTGGAGGCCGGTGAGGGCCGGGCCTTTGACAACGAGCAGGACGGCGTCACCTACAGCTACTCCTTTTTCCACTTCTGCCTGGTGCTCGCCTCCCTGCACATCATGATGACGCTCACCAACTGGTACAGGTGCGTGCAGCCTGGCCGGGCATGGACGGAGCCCTCGGTGTCTGGGGTGTGTGTGCCACACACCTCCTCCCCTCTGGCCCTCCCCCACTGGGGTTTTCCTGCGCCTGCTCAAGGCTTGGGCATGAAGGTGTGGATCTAGGACCCTCCATGGAGCCTGTCTGTGCTCCAGTGTCCCTGCAAGTGCCCTAGTCTGCTCAGCTGCTGGTGCTTTCGCGAAGGGCCTGAAAAGTAGGGATCACAGGAGGTGAGGCTGTGCCTGTGCAGGGCAGACTGGGTTAACAGGGCAGCCGCAGTGATTTGGATCATGGGGTCATAGCTGGGATTCGTGGCTGGAGGGTTAGGATTAGGGTGTGGAGGTCAGAATCAAAGTCACAGGGTCAAGAATAGGAGTCATGAAGTAAAAAGTTGGGATTGGGGCCATATAAAGTCACAGATTTGGTCATTTGGTTAAAACTGGGGTTAGGAGGCCATACAGCCAGGGTTGAAGTTGCCAGGTCAAGGAGCTAAGATCAGGACTGGGGTCACAGAGTCAGGGTCAGAATTGAGGTCAGAGATATCAGAACGGTGGTCATGAGATCAGGGGTCAGGGATGGGGTCAGAGTCAAGGTTAGAGGTCAGGTCTAAGGTCTGGAGCTCTAGTGTTCCAAAGTCAGGGACCAGGAGTCAGGTCACAGTAACACGGTCTAGGACTGAGGTCAAGGTTGGAGTTGAGGTTTGGGTCAGGTCTATGGTACAAGGTCAAGATCTTTGTCTAGGGTCTTGAGGCCGAGTGTCAAAAATACCAGAGATGGGGACTAGAGTTACAGAGTACAAGCCCGAGTTGAAGTCAGAGGTCACAACTGGATTATAAGGTCAGGGCCAGGAATGAGGTCACAGGATTGGGGGCCAGGCTCACTGGGATGCTGCTGTGTTCCAGACCCGGTGAGACCCAGAAGATGGTCAGCACCTGGACCGCTGTGTGGGTGAAGATCTGTGCCAGCTGGGCGGGGCTGCTTCTCTACCTGTGGACCCTGGTAGCCCCCCTCCTCCTGCCTAACCGGGACTTCAACTGAGGCAGTCCCTTCCAGCCGCCCACCTGGTGCCTCAGGGCTTAGCCAGCCATGCTGAGCCCCCGCCCTACCTCCAGTACTTGCCCCGGGGCTGGGTACCTCATTCTTAGTGCCTTCAGGGATGAGGAGCATCAGGCCTATGCCTGAGCCCCACCCTCAGCTGTCCCAGACCGCTGGGCTTCGTCTTCATTCTCCTTGTGCCAGGTCACCCATACTCACCTTCTCGGGGGGAAAAAGGCCCCGTTGTTCCCAGGCTCCCCAGGAGAGGGTCCTAAAGGAGAGACATTCTCAGAGCTGCTCAGAGAGCTGGAGCTCTTACCATGATGAGGTGCCCAGCACTGAGGTACTGGTATTCCTGACCACAGCCTCCTGGCGCCGTCCCTTTCCTGGACTCCGTGCCTTACAGAGTCTCTAAGACATTGCCCAATAAAGAAGCCAGAGCATGTGTCTCCCATGTTCTCTGCCTCGTCACCTCCAGTGCCACCCTCATCCCATCTGGGGCCAGTGTGGGATTAGGAATAGAATTTCAGGGCTGAGGGACCAGACCAGGAGGGGCCTCGAAGGCCAGACCGAGGTGCCTGGGCTCTGTCCTCTGGGTCATGGGGAGCCTGGGGGCGGCAGCTACAGAGGAAGGAGGGGTCAGAAAATGGGGGCCTGGAGTCATGTCCACATGAGGAGTGGTAAAGCCAGAGTCAGGATGGAGGAGGGGCCAGGCGAGGTGGCTGAGGGCCATCTTATCAGTGTCTGCCCTGAGGTCCTGCCCACCTCTGACCCGCCTCCAGGGTCCTGCAGAGGAACTCATCACCACCCTCCCCTTCCTCCCGCCGGAGTGGTTGGCACCTGCTCTGGGCCAGCTGCCATGAGGAATGGGGAAGGGCACGCTCGGGAGTGGCCGAGCTGGCCTGGGTCCCGCTGAACCGTGGAAGCCGGTGGGCTCCGGTGGGGCTCTGGGCAAGTCCTCCCCGCCGCTGAGCCCTGGTTCCTCATTCATCAGATGGGAAAAAGGCACCTCCTCCCAGGCTGTCATGGGGCTCACATGAAGCAGCTTACTCATCCCCGAAGGTGCAGTGATGTGGGGGGAGGGACAGGCTCCTGGCTGGGGTCCCAGAGCCTGGTCTTTATGTTGTGATGACGGACCGCACGCCATTCACCCCTTCCACTTGTGGGAATAAAAAAAAGGTATTGGTGTGACTGGGGTTTATTGGGTGCCAAGGACACACCTGCTTCTAAGGAGCTTCTGGGTTGAGGTGGGGTGGGGCTGCAGTGGTGGAGGCAGTACAGGGTGCACCAAGGAGGCACCTGACACAGGTGGGGAGTCAGGATGGATCCTGGAGAGTGAGTGGGAGTTAGCCTGGTCAGGAGGAGTGAAAATGCTCAAGGCAGAGGGGACATGTGAGCAAGAGAGTGGAGCATTCAAGGACCAATGAGAAGCGCAGGGCGGCTGGGATGCAGAGAGCAAAGGGCCGGGGAGCGGGCGGTCAGGAGATGTGTGAGCTCGGAGAGGTGGGTGGGGTCCAAATCACACAGGTTCTTGAGGGTCATGGTAGGGAGACCAGATATTATCCTCAGGGCAGAGGGGCGCTGTGGAGGGGAAAGGCAGTGAAGGTGCGAGCTGTTCATGGGGAGGCCCTGGAAGGCTTAGAGCAGAGCAGTGACACGGTCAGATGGTTATTTTAGAGATTTCCCTGGATGAGATGGAGGGTGCAGCAGCTGGAGACAGGTGCCAGGGCCTATGGCAGAGCGGGTGGGGGCCTGGAGTGGGGCAGGGCTGAGGAAGGCACGTCTCACCCCGGGAACAGATCTTGCAGATAGATGCTTTTGTCCCCTGGTGCCTTTCAGCCGAAGGAAACCCCTTTCCATGTAACAGACTGAGCGTCTTCCCCCCGACACACGAGATTTCATTGCTTACTTCACCTTTGGGAGAAAAAGCCCACATTGTGCTCTCGATACCTTGTTTATGCATTTGTAGAAGTGGGCAGTTTTTGTACCTCTCTAGTTTTTTGTTGCTCAATAGTTTTTCAATTATTCACTCAACAAACAGGTACTGAGTATGAGTTGTGCTAGGGTCTAGGCTGGGGCCTGGCTAAGGATTTCAGGTCCCAGTTTGGAGGTCACCACCTCTGAGAAGCTGCCCCTGATCCCAGGTGGGGAGGGCTTTCCCTCCGTGGTTCCTCAGCTCCTGTTCTCCCCTCCAGCAAGGTAGTGGGCGCACCTATGGAGCTTGTGGTTGATGTGGTGGAGGTGGGGCACGTGTCCGGCGTGACCTGCTGCCCGTCCAGGGACTAGGAAGCCCACTGAGCCTGTTTGCTGCATGTGCCTCCATCTCCCACTGCCCAGCACCATGGCTTCCACATGTCCTCTCTCCCTCCTCCTTCCCTCCCTCTCTCTCCCTCTTCCCCACCCCCATCTTTCCTCCACCTCCTCTTCTCTATCACTCCTCTTTCTCAGTTCCCTCCTCTTTTCCTTTACACCCTCTTCTCTGTTGCCCCGCTCCCCTCTCTCTCTTCACCTCCTCACCTTTGTCTGTCTGTGGGACAGGCATGTAGGACCCCAGCCCTTTCTCTCTGCCAGCCCCTGACAAGCTGGGCTCCCCTGCTGGAGTGGTCATGGGCAAGGGGCTGCCCTTGTCCCCAAGGGCCTATGCTCTGTCCCTGGACACCTGCTGCACCATGCCTAGGCCTGGGCTGTTGTCATTGCAGAGATATCAGGGGCAGCCTTAGCCCAGCCTGCCCTGGAGCAACTTTGGACCCAGCTGTAGAACAAAATGTCTGGGCAGAGTGATTGCAAAGCCTGTAGATCACGTGGGGAAACGGGCAGTGTGGTGCGTGCACCAGAGAGAGCCCTGGGCTCGGCTCTAGTTCTATCAGCATTACTATCTCACTGGGTGACCTTAGGGAACTCAGTTGTTCTCTCTGGGCCTCAATTGTAGCGTCTGTACAATGGCAACAGTAGCTGTTTTGTGAATTCCAAAGCACTATGCTTTCCTGAGGCAGACACTGTGGTAAACCAGCAAACATTCTCAATCACCCTTTGCTGTCTCCATCACAAGGCTGAAAAGCTAGCCTGTCACTTTGCAGCTTCTCTGAGAGTTAGCAGTGGCCACCTGACAACATTCTGGCTAACTAGATTCACGTGGGAACGCTAAGGAGCAATTCTAGGCAGTTTCTGCTTTTACAAGGCACTGCTCATTCCCCCTTTTCCTATTGTAACATAAATATGATGCCTGGAGCTCCAGCAGCTATGTTGGGACAATGAGGCAACAAGCTCAAAGATGAGGAACCAACATGGTGAGGATTGTGGTGTGGAAAAAGGGGTCCTTGATACACCTCTGAGCTGCTGTATCCACCCTACCGTGCCTGCCTGACTCCAGACTTCTATGTGAGGAAAATTAACGCCAATATATAATATATGGGGGGGGGTGCGCTACACTATTGTTACCCAATAGTCCTCAGTAATGGAGATGAGTTTCTCCTGTCTATTATATTTATTGTCAACTACAATTAATGACCATCTCACATGTTACATCAGTTAAAAATACATTCAGCTGCAAGGAACTTAATACTAGCAGGGGCTTAAATATATTGGCGTTCAATATATGTTTATAAATAAATGTATACTATGTGTTTATATAATATACATATATGTTTAGTAGCAGGAGAAATTGTAACAAGACAGTTTTTGAAATATTCATTTTTCTCTCCTCTGCCAAACACACAGGAGAAGAAGGTTCTGGGCCTCCTTGCCTTGGGGGAGGTTTGAAGAAAAGTGGGAAGCAGGAGAGAGAGGTTATTACCTGTGAAATGTACTTCCCGTCCTTTCTTTGGTATAAAAAAGCCCAAGTTGGGCCGGCCGAGTGGCTCATTGGGTAAGAGTTGGCTTGGGACGCCAGCTCTGAGCAGCAGGGCCCCAGTTCGGATTCCACTTGAGGGCCAGTGACACTGCGCCCTCTACAGCTAAGATGGTGAACAACAGCTCGACCTGGAGCTGGGCTGCCATGAGTTGCTGGCGACGGCGTAGGCTGCAGTGGAGCTGCAGTGGGCTGCCATAAGCTACCGTGAGTGGCTGGCAGCCGACGTGAGCTGCCAAAGAGCCGCAGTGAGCGGTCCAGTGGCCAGCGGCCTATCTGCCTCATCCGGGAAGAGCGCAATGATAATACCAACATGGGCCAGTGAAGCGACGTCCTCCACAACTAGACTGAAGAACAAAAGGACAGTAACTTGTCTGTTCCCCTTCCCTGATTCCCCAATGCTGTTCCCCTCCCCCAATTCCCCAATAAAAAAAATTAAAAAAAAAAAGCAAAAGCCCAAGTTGGTTGAGTTTCTGGGAAGTAAGAAGGGAGCACTGATGGGGGCAGCAGAGATGCCTCCTGCAGGGAGGAGAGGAAGAGAGCCCCTGAAGGAACTTGATTAGAGATGGGGGTTGATGTCTCCAGACCCCAAAGAAATTCTCTGTGCCCGGAAGAGGAGGCAGAGGGCTGTGGGCTCTGTCAGCAAGGGTGGGGGCACCAGTTCCTGCTGAGCTGGGGGAGCCATCCAGAGCCTGGGGGAGCTAGTGGGACTCCGAGGGGTAGAAGCACAGTTCTCAGCCCTGCCTGAGGTGTCATGCTCCCCGACACCAGGTCCTTTCAGCTCTGCCCACCGTCTGGCTGCTGCATGTGACCTCAGGACTTTTGCACTATCCTGGAGGGGGTTCTCTTTCTCTCTCTCTCCCTCTCCTTCTCTCCTCCGGAACCCCTTCCCTCCCCTTTCCTTCTCTTTCTTTCTCCAGCGAAGAATGGCTGAGGTTGAATTTCCCACCAGCCTGGTGGGATGGGGCTTTGGATAGAAAGTTAATATAAAACAGATGAACAGATGCTCTGTTTCTTGCACACCTGTGAATTGAGCTTCATAGCCACTTGACAATAACTTTAGATATAAGCCATACTTTGGTATAAAACAGTCAAGTGCATGCGTGTGACAAGCATTTGCCTTCTTCATTTTCTTAAGCAGTAGCAGAGGATTCTATTGAATGAACATTCTGCAACTTATTTAGCTAATCCTCAATTGACGGGAGTCTGTGTTGTTCTCAGTGTTGTTTGTTTTTGCTTCCACCAGCCACTGTGTTTATTCTGGCAGCTTGCTGAGCTGCAGGAAGAACGTGGACTCCAGAGCCAAGATCCTCTAGGTTCTTTCTTACCTTGGCTTTGCCCCTGAGCTGCTGTGGCTGCTCTGGTCTCAATTTCCCCATCTGCAGAATGGGGATTGTGGTAGCACCCACCTGCGGGACATTGCCCAGGTCAGTGAGAGCAGGTCTGTAATGGTCCTGGCACCAGGTTGGGCCCAGAGTAGGAGCCAAAGATAGGGTGGCTCCTTCCTTTCTCTGGCTCCCAGTCCTCAGGGACTGAGACAAAAAGCTAGGCCAGCAGATGAGGTCACCTTAGCCTGTTCTCTCCCTCCAGGGAAGCCTGCCCTTTGT